TATATTAAAGCCTATTGATCTCACCACCAAAATATATCGTGATAATATCTATTTGGTGTGGCTCTATAGCCTCGTTTTTAAGGTAGTTTTGGCGAGGCCGCGCGCGCACTTTGTGGTCGCGCGCACTTTGTGGTGGGGCTAGTTATACTTGTATAGTTAACGTGACGGATAAGCGAGTCGGTCAGACAAGCGAGTCGGTCACCCTACCAACTTTGATCACCCACCACACCTTTGCGTACAATGCCTCCAAGCCACGCTTCTTAGTCAATCTCTCACAAGGCAGATATTCAGCTTGCTCTCTCTTCTTTAGATAGAAACCAAATCCAAAGTACCTAACGCGCTGCTATAGCCTTTAATATTCTAAAATTAACACTAATTAACCAACGCGCTGGGAAGCGCGCGCAACGCGATTGCTAGCCCAACTCAAAGAAGCTTACCAAGCTAGAAGAGGAGGTAATAGTTAGTCATATACTTAATCTTGACTCACGTGGATTTGCGCCCACGTACGCCGCTATACGCGATATGGCTAATAAGCTGCTAGCTGCGCGCGGCGCTGGCCAGGTTGGGCAGAAGTGGCCAGCCAACTTTGTCAAGCGTACAGACAGTCTTACGACGCGTTTTAATCGAGCGTACAATAGGCAAAGAGCTCTATGTAAAGATCCAGTCCTAATCAAGAGCTAGTTTGAGCTTGTAGAGCAGACAAAGGCCAAGTACGGCATCTGTGACAAGGACGTCTACAACTTCAACGAAGCTAGCTTTATGATGGGCAAGATCGCGACTCAGCTAGTCGTAACAGCGTCAGAGAGGAGAGGCCGGCCAAAGGCAGTTGAGCCAGGCAATCGTGGGTGGGTGACGCTGATCGCAGCGATTAACGCAGCTGGCTGGGCAGTTCCACCATTCCTCATCTTCGCTGGCAAATATCATCTATCCGCCTGGTACGAGGAAGCAGAGATCCCACGCGACTGGGCGATCGCAGTCAGCGACAACGGCTGGACGAACAACGAGCTAGGTGTTGCCTGGCTAAAGCACTTTAATGCTCACACAAAGACTCGCGTTGTCGGCACACGTCGTCTGCTTGTTCTTGACGGCCATGAGAGCCACCAGTCTCTTGAGTTTCAAGAGCTTTGCAAGGAGAACAATATCTACACGCTCTGTATGCCGCCACATTCCTCTCACCTACTTCAACCTCTTGACGTTGGCTGCTTCTCGCCGTTGAAGCGCGCGTATAGCCGTGAGGTAGAGAGCCTGATACGCAACCACATCAACCACATCACCAAGCTTGAGTTTCTGCCAGCGTTCAAGACAGCGTTTAATCGATCCTTCACGCCAGCTAATATCCGCTCAGCCTTTTAAGGCGCAGGCCTTATTCCTCTCCAGCCAGACGCTGTTCTATCAAAGCTGGACATAAAGCTGCGCACGCCTACTACTCCAGTAGCTGCTGTCGCAGAGGCTCTCTGGCAGGCTCGTACCCCAAGTAACGCACGCGAGTTTGAAGCTCAATCAACGCTAATACGTGATCGGGTTCGGCGGCATAAGAGCTCTTCGCCAGCATTAATTATTGCAGCAATTAACTAGCTTAAGAAAGGGGCTAAGGTTATAATGCTCTTAGCTGAGCTAATGCGCGATTAGATCACCAGCCTTAAGAGGGCTAACGAGGCAGCAATAAAGCGTAGGTAGCGTAAAAGGAAGCGGATACAGAAGCAAGGAGTGCTAACAAAGGGAGCTAGAGAGGATCTACTCGCTCAGCGCGAGGCTGATCAGCAGATTGCTCATGAAGAGCGTTAGGGAGGAGAGCGATCAGGTGTCAGCCGCCAGGCTCTAGCGCGCTGTAGTAGGTGCAGAGAGACTGGCCATAACTCACGTACATGCAAGAAAGATAGTCTAGATAGTAATTAATCTATTGCGTTAATATCTACCAAAACTAATATAATATGGTGGAGCTATACGCTTATAGAAGTGCGCAAAGTTAGTGAGGTGACCGACTCGCTTGTCTGACCGACTCGCTTATCTATCACGTTATCTATATATATATAACGTATGTGGCAAGCGAGCGCCGCAGGCAAGCGAGCGCCGCACCCCACCAAACCTGCGCACCTCTCCTATCTCAACGAACAATGGCTCAACGTAGCGCTACTCAATTAGCTTTAAATGAAGCAGATATTCAGCTTGCTATTTCTTCTATTAATCTCCATTAAACACAAAGTAATCGTCGCGCTGCTGCTATCTACAACGTGTCTGAACGAACAATCCGCCGCCGACGCGCTGGTATACCTGCTCGACGCGATTGCCAGCCTAACTCAAAGAAGCTCACTAAGCTAGAAGAGGAGGTGATAGTTGATCATATACTTGATCTAGATCTACGTGGATTTGCGCCCACGTATGCTGCTGTGCGCGATATGGCTGATAAGCTGCTGGCTGCGCGCGGCGCTGGCCAGGTTGGGTAGAAGTGGCTAGCCAACTTTGTTAAGCGTACAGACAGTCTTACGACGCGTTTCAATCGAGCGTACGATAGGCAGAGAGCTCTATGTGAAGATCTAGTCCTAATTAAGAGCTGGTTTGAGCTTGTAGAGCAGACAAAGGCTAAGTACGGCATCTGTGACGAGGACGTCTACAACTTCGACGAAGCTGGCTTCATGATGGGCAAGATCACGACTTAGCTAGTTGTAACAGCGTTAGAGAGGAGGGGCCGACCAAAGGCAGTTGAGCTAGGCAATCGTGGGTGGGTAACGCTGATCGCAGCGATTAACGCAGCTGGCTGGGCAGTTCTGCCATTCCTTATCTTTGCTGGCAAATATTATCTATCCGCCTAGTACGAAGCAGAGATCCCACGCGACTGGGCGATTGCAGTTAGCGACAACGGCTGGACGAATAACGAGCTAGGTGTTGCCTGGCTAAAGCACTTTGATGCTCACACAAAGACTCGCGTTGTTGGCACACGTCGCCTA